TAACACTTTCCTCTGAGTATGTTACGCAGCCCTGTGATGCAGCATGAGCAGCAGTTCCCTCCCCGGTTGGTATCTGCCATGTGATAGCAGACAGCCAAGACAAAATTAGGGAGAAAATGGGGGATTCTGGGGATCTTGAAATCAAAATATTGGTCACTGCAACTTCTTCAGATCTTGTTAGGTTGCATTAGTTTACTTTGGTAACTTTGATACCACAGCACTGTTGAGTGCTTGAATCTGATTGGTTAGAAGGTGTTGATTAATTTTCTATAACCGCACGGCTCTGACAGTAGTTCCAGCTTTAACATAAATGATACAGTTATATTAATGCGCTAGGTATAATATGTTCCATTTTATTTTTTCCATTATACCTAGCGCATTAATATAAACTCGGGAGAACCAGATGCGGAATCGGGAGAATGAGATGCGGGTTTGTCTTTGGAGCATTGCTGTTTCATTGTTAACAGCTCATTCAGAGGGAATTGTATGCCTGACAAATTTACATAATCTAAGGGTAATAATAAAGGGATGGATAAAAACATATACATTACATACATTATACATACATGAATCTAAATCTCAAACAAAAAAAAAAGGTTCTGGTTTTGGTCATCTTTTGGAGAAGATGGGAGAAAACATGTGCTTTTGCTACATCACATATCAGGGCTCATCTAATTGGTTGCTCTTTGGAAAGGTAAACTGGATTGAAGATGAATTTTAGCGACCTTTTTGTTTTCATTTTTTTTTTCCTGTAACAGCATACCCAGTCGTTGTGTATTTCTTAGTCTTCTGGAAAATACTTGATGCGAAAAAGCTGCAATGTTAATAAGGGCTTTTAAAGCCAACCTTAACCCTAGACTTCTCAGAATATAATAGATCTTCCTAGAAAGAAAGAGGTGTTATTCTGGTAATAACATGCACTTACTTCCAGTCAAAAACTCTCAAGGTCTTTTAAGGAAAGGGTGATTAAGGAAATATAATTTTTTTTTATGCAATGCATGTCAAAACGCTCTTTAATATCCATTACTACACTGATTCTCAGTCAAAGGTGTGTAATAATAAAATACAGGTATAGTAATAAGGTATTTAAAATACAATGAAAATGTGCGTAACTATGATTATAGTGAGATTGTACTGTATACTGTATATAGTTATTGTAACAGGGCACTCAGAGACATTGGGTTCAGATATATTTGCTGGAGGTTTTACTTCCGAGGCAGGGTCAGCGGACGAAAACAGGGTCAGAAGATAACAATCCAAAAACACGGCTCAGAACTTACATGATTGCAGGCAAACATTAAGGCTTCACACAGACACACACAAGTCCATGCGCCTTATATATCGACTACCCAAAATTCAATGGAGGGTGCTCTGGAGGGGGATTGCCTGGGCTAGATGTTACAGTTTTGTATGTGTGTCTTCTACACAAAAGAAAATGTTATGGAATTTAAGGGCTTTTTATGTTACGTGACATTCATATCTGAGGTACCTGTTTTTATTTTTCAGTATTCCAGTTTTAATTTTAACCAATAGTTGCTTGTTATTCAAACTGCTGACATTTGGAACATGTTACTAATGCGTGTAATCAGTAATGGAAGGCAACCGCAAAGTGACCTTTCACGCTTTCTTCTCCTCTCAGACGCCTTTGTCGGTGGTGTGATCGGCCTGCTGTTTGCCTACATCTGCTACCGGCAGCACTACCCACCTTTTCTCCACACAGACTGCCACCTGCCTTATGCCAGCCTGGCACTGAGCACCACCCGACATGCGCCAGTCTCCCAGGAGGTGCCTCAGGCTACGGACAATGCCACGAGCCTGCCTCTGGAGGGCATCACCGAGGGGCCTGTATGACTAATGGAGCCCCCCTCCTTCACCGCCCGCTTGGTATGACCCACACAGACTGGCTGACTCTTGTACATTCCAGTGGGTCGTCCAGTTCCTGTTCATTTTATCCTTCACTGGTACTCTTTCTTTTTCCGTCTTGTGTTTAATACTGATTTACCAGCCTCATTTGGGATACACTTACACTCACTACACTTGTTGATGGCGAATGTAGACCATTTCTGTGTAGCAGGAACGAGAGAATAATAAAGAGAGATGAAGACTCGTTGAAGTGGCCTGGTTAAGTCGCAGTATAAATTGAGATGATTAATGACAGCACAAAATGAAGGCAAAGTCCAGCATGTTGTATTTTACTATTACAGATATGGAAATGTTCAATGTATAATATGTATAATAATGTGAGGTGATTGGAGGGAAGGCATTGTAATCGAAGTCACAATCTGTCTATTTTGATGTTTCTTTTATCTTTTCTCATTACTTTTCCAGTTCTGACTTATTTGTTTTATCACACTGGGCAGAAAAAAAAATGCTTTTCAGAGATACATGGTGAACTCGCTGGTTGTCCATGGTAACATTCAGATATATATAGATCTCCTTCTCATTTCTCTGTCCCTTCTTTTCGGTTTCAATAGCTTGACTTACTTTGACCTGAGTCCTTCACCTCTTCTGTTTATTTTTCTTATTTTCTGCCACATACTCCTGGCTCGACAGTCAATACTTCCCTATTTCTTTATTCTATCCCCCCCCACCAGTCTCTGTCTCTATTCCTCACAAATTATCAGTGGCAGTGGTGCCACACTGTCTCTGTCTCTCTGCCTCTTTCTTATTTTCTCCATCCCCTTTCTCTTGATCTCCCTTATTATCTTATTTCTTCATTCACCCGCCAATTTCCTTTTATTTGTCATGCCAGGGTTGCATAGAAATTTGAATACAAATGACAGCTAAACAGTGTATGGTTGATATCAAGTACGCAGAGTGTGCGTGTGTGTGCGTGTGTGTGTGTGGGTGTTGGAGAAGGGCGGAAACCCCAATCTGAACCTGCATTAATTTCCATTATGCGAGGAGTGGCTGCCACTGTTAATCAGCACATTAGAGCAGAATGGAAAAGGAAGCTTCCAGGCTCTTACTTAGTCATGAGTGTGTTCCCTGGGCTGGCTGTGACCTGCCACAATCAAACCCCTAATGGGATTATTCATTAACATGCCACTAAGTACTTGTGTCTTAATAGGGCAGACTGTGGTGATTAAACTGAATGGAGAGCTACAGTATTTTATTTCATCCCTCAAAAGCTTTAGCTGGTGTCTGACAAGTAACTACTAAATGGCATTGCATATAACGTTATACACTGTCAGTTAATGTGCTTGCTACACCGTACTTCCTGGTTGTTCTTATGAGTGCTAGGAAATAAGTATAATACTTTTGAGAATGCAGATCATACTTAGCTGGTCATCTATTTCTGTCTCACTAAGAGGAAAATAAAGCAACCCCATGAACATGCACGAATATAACAAAGCGGGAAAAGTTGTCTGTTAAAACAGACATGCGGCAGCTTTTTTTTCCCCCAAGCGCCTGGTGGTTACTGTAAAACCATCAGTTTCTGACTTGACTGCGCTGTTGGAACGCGTCTGAGTTGACTGTTGCAGGAGAGCAAACAGTGTTTTAAGCACTTTATAATTAATATTACCATTAAACTGATTTGCAAAGTGTCAGAGTTGACTTTTTGTGTAGGCATATTTAATCTATTTTGCTGTCAAAACGTTCATCCCTTTTTCACTTTTGGATGAAAAGTGATGTTTTTGACAATATTAAGCCAAATTTTTTTCGGTGCATCCTTAATAAATATAGTTAACTGATGTTAACTAGATACTTGTCTTGGGTTAGATAAGTCGAACATATATCGAAAGATTTTATTTCACATTACAGAACTCAAAACAGACTCTGTTTACCTTGAAAGAAAGCAAGGCCACATCTTTCAAGCGAGAAAACCGAGACGAGACGAAAGCACTGGCCGAAAGATTACTTATGTGAGATGGAGATGATTGTTAATCACTGCAGATTAACTGCACTGAAAATACACAAACATAACAAACATTCCAAACATGTTTTTGAATAAGTTTTACAGCATTACAGCATAGAGCAATGTTACGTTCAATAGACTGTAAGCTTTTTAGACATTACCTATATAGCTGTTATAGGCTGTTAGAGAGTTAGCCTCATGCAACTGCTCTATTTATTTCTCTTTTACAAATGGGAATATGCAAACAAAGGACTCTGGCTATGCACCACAAGTTTCTTAACATATAGCTCTGTTCTCTGACAGGCGTCTGTGGGTGTTTTAAAGGAATTTAATTACCTTTGCTGTCACATTTTAAAAGAGAAAAGGGTTTGTGCAATTTACGGGCTAAAACTGTGCAATATCGTTGCCGGTGACCAGAAAAAAAAAAAAGCAAAACAAAACACATAGACTGGTGAGAGAGAGAAATAAGTGGTGAAGGAGCACTGCTGCAGTTGGAAGACAAATAGAGTGAACTGTAAGTGACAGTTCTATACTCTGATTCAACTTTATCTACACCTGTTCTAAAACAGTGCTTATCTCTCCACTGTTTCTTTCATGGACCTTTTAAAGCACCTGATCTTGTGAATTTCTAAAAACCAGAGTGGATAAAGTTGTATTGTAAGCTGCAAATGAAAGATTCCACTCCTTGGCCTAACTATTTGTAACTTTTCATACAAGTTGGCTTGTGCAAAGTCTTATGAATTGTTGAAGTGAACAATATCCATGACTGGACTATTCCCATAAGAAAAATCCCCATTGTGTCACTGACTGTGTGATTGCTAAAAGCGAACCCTTAAGCAAATGTCTGCTAGCAAGTACAGACCTCAGGCCTGTTTGAACATGACTTCTGATTACATCATCCGAAGACTTGCTATTGCAATCCTCAGCCGAGCCACATGCAGGCGGCTGAAGTCTCTGTCAGAGGCATTGCTTGTTCAAGAACTTCCTCTGATCTGTTGTCTTGATGTTTTGTTACACACGTTACACATTTTACAGAGGGATTTATTGCCCTCAGGACACTACATCGTGACAATTCGGATATAATTCAGAGCCGGTAATTCTGATTAGAATTAATTATGTATAAAAGAATATCTCTTCGGGGTCCCTGGAGGACTAGTGGTTAGGCCACAGCGCTCTCACCGCTACAGCCCAGGTTCAATTCCCAGCCAGGGTTCCAACCTCAGCCACTGGGGTTGCATGCAACAGTGTGCTCTCAGTGCCAGTCCAAGCCCAGATACAACTGGGGAGGATTGCATCCGGAAGGGCATGCAGCATAAAAACTGTGCCAAATCAAATACGCGGCCCAATGATCTATGGATCAACAACAATGGAATATATATTTGGAATATAATGGAACATTAACACTTAATTTAACAGTTTATAACTTTTAATACAAGTTGCAGATCTGCCAACCTTGAAGAGGAATGATGCATAGACATTTTCCATATAGCCCTTTAACAAATCACTTTTCTACAATAGAAACGAGTGTGTGTGTGTGTATATATATATATATATATATATATATATATATATATATATACACACACATACATATACATATACATACACATATATGTGCCTGTAAACATTTCTAGTTTCTACAGCATTCCTAAAACAGACAAGCAGCAGCTTTTTACCCCTAAGCAATAGGTGGTTACTGTGAAACCCTGTATAACCCCTACTACGATGGACCTGAGTGCACTGCTGGAACACATCTGTGCTGACCCTGCAGGAGAGCAGAGAGCTTTCTAATTATCATTCCCGTTACAATGACTTGTAAAGTGTTAGATCTGACACTTAGTTGTACTCCTGTTTAATCTTTTTTTGGTCAAAATTTTGTGCCATTTTTGAGTAATTTTGGCCACATTTTTTTTGGTTCATCCCCTGTTAAATTTAGTTAACTGATGTTAACTTTATACTTGTCAAACACACACTATATGGCCAAAAGTTTGTGGACACCGGACCATCATGCCCGTATGTCGGCCTTCGCCAAACTGTTGCCACAAAGTTGGAAGCACACAATTGTATAGGATATCTTTGTATGCTGTAGCATTAAGATTTTCCTTTAACTAGAACTAAGGGGCCCAAACATGCTCCAGCATGACAATGCCCCTGTGCACAAAGCGAGCTCTGTAAAGACATGGTTTTCAAAGGTTGGTGTGGAAGAACCTGAGTGACCTGCACAGCGCCCTGACCTCAACCCCACTGAACACCTTTGGGATGAACCGACTGCACACCAGGCCTTCTCATTTGACATAATTACCTGACCTCACTAATGCTCTTGTGACTAAATGGGCAGAAATCCCCACAGCCACACTCTAAAATCTAGCGGAAAGCCTTCCCAGAAGAGTGGAGGCTGTTATAACAGTAAAAGTGGGATAAACACCATGTTAATGCTCGTGGATTTGGAATGTTCAAATATGAGTTTGATGGTTAGATGTCCACATACTTTTGGTCATATAGTGTACATTGATCTATTTTGTTTCACATTAATAAACTCAAAACTTTCTCTATTAATTGTAAATAAAAAATAGAGGCGGCATCTTTCAAGTGAGAAAAGTGAATCGAGATGAGAGCACAGGCTAAAAGATTACTAATGTGAGATATGGGGAAGGGGGCGGGGCTTCCGGGGGGGTCACGTAATATTGAAGAGTTCAAAACAAGCGACTGCGAAACTGTCAATCATTCCAGATCCAGATCTGTCATTTTATTGGGGTGAAAGTGAAGACTTTCTCTATGTGTTTTTTTGAGAGATAACTCATAGCAGCATACTCGTAAAGGTTGGCAGGTCTGAACTTGGTTTGTGGGAGTGTTTACACGAGGGGCACTACCGTACTTTCCTTAATCTGAACAGGCATTTCTCTGACCATAAGAAAATACATTTAATATTTTATGTCACTTACGACACTACTGCAGAAAGCAGTTATTAAATCGCTGACCAGCAAAATCCTATTTTTTTGGTTTTTATGGCTTGGCAAAGTTTTTGCTTAAGTAAAATATACAGTTTTTAACTTGTGAGTGGAATTATAGTTTAATTATGTGTACTGTAAGTATGGGGATATTGCTTTGGATATTATATTGCTCTCTACAATTGCATTATTTTCCAAAAGAAATAAAAGCTTTACATTATATGTCATTACATTGACATATACCTCCAATATCCAACAAATTTGGCTTGTCATGAGAGTTTTGAAAATGTTAATCCATTCTTGGTTTTTATTCTGTTTCCTGTTCTTGATTTAAGAGACATTGGCAGTACTGTAGAAAAGAAAAAAAAAGTGTTTCTGCTTCTGTTCCATTTTGGTTGCCGATCCTTCCTGATATGCTCCATGTCCACTTTTATTTCAAGTGTTGAAAAATGTGTTATAGCCGTGTTATAGGATAGGAAGGGAATACTTGTTCACTAGTGTCAACCGGCATGCCAGATTTAGTTGTTTAAAAGAAACTATTTTATATGGAGACGCATGTCCTGGCCTTGAAAGCATTTTGAGTCGTGTTTTTGTTCATTATATTGTGTGTGTACAAATAGTCTACCTATGAGCCGTATACGAATCTAAACAGTCTTGAATATGGGAAAAATTCTTTACTTATGACTGAATGTTTTTGTGGGATTGTAGAAAAGGATGTTTGCACTGATATCCTATTCAAGCTGCTACTGCACATCAAAATCTTTAATTAGATCATGAAATTTTAACGTTGGGTTTATTTGACATCCTATTATAAGAATGGCATATGTGTCTTATAACTTATTCCAAAAAAAAAAAAAACAATGCCTTTTTTTTATTTTGCTGTGTGTGTTAATTACTCTGAGGTTTTCAGTTGCAGTGGATGTTGTATATGTTGTATATGACATCCGTGCGGGAGCCCAGTATGTGCTACTGCTTGTGCTCGGTGGAGGTTTGTGTTGTGTTGTTATGCATCAACCTGCACTTATATAAGAGAAAGAGTTTTCAATAAAGGACTGTATGCTAAATAACGACTGTCTGGTTCTTTTAATATGGTGACAATTCTAAATGTTAGCATTATCCCTCATTTGCACAACACCTTTAATGTGCAACTGCAAATTATACAAATACAGTGAAAAATGATCAAATGCTTTTTTAGGGAAAAAAAGAAAAAAAACCTTACAGTAACCTAGTTGTGTAAGTGTTCACACCCCTAAACTAATACTGTTGAAGCACCTTTTGATTATATTACACCACTCAGTCTTTTTGGGTAAGAGTCCATCAGTGTGGCACATCTTGACTTGGCAATATTTTCCCACTCTTTCTTCCAAAAACATTCAAGATCCCTCAAATTGTGAGGGCATCTCCTGTACACAGCCTGCTTCAGGTCACCGCACAACACAGAACACAGCTACGTCCCCAATTATAAAAGATGAACACACTTATGCAACCAGGTTTTTGTAACTTTACAGGTTAATAACTTTAACAGGTTATTAACTTTTTTATTTTTTCCTGTTTTTCCCTAAAATGTTTCTGATTGTTTTTCACTTAATTCTTGTACATTGTAATTTCACATCGAGGGTTGAAAAGTTCTGACATGATTTATCTTAGTTTCCTTTTTTTTCTTCACAAAAACCTGCCATTTTAACAGGGGTGTGTAAACTTTTTATATCCACTGTATACTACATGGCCAAAGGTTTGTGGACACCTGACCATCACATGCATATGTGGGTCTTCCCTAAACTGTTGCCACAGAGTTGGAAGGACACAATTGTATAGAATGACTTTGTATGCTGTAGCATTACAGTTTCCCTTCACTGGACCTAAGGGGAACAAACCTGTTCCAGCATAACAATGCCCTTGTGCACAAAGCGAGCTCCATGAAGACATGGTTTGCCACGGTTGGTATGGAAGAACTTGAGTGGCCTGTACAGAGCCCTGACCTCAACCCCACTGAACACCTTTAGGATGAATTTTCAACACTGACTGCACCCCAGACCTCTCTGCCCTACATCAGGGCCTGATCTCACTCTTGTAGCTGAATGAGCACAAATCCTCAGAGCTATGCTCCAAAATCTAGTGGAAAGCCTTCCCAGAAGAGTGGAGATTATTATAAGAGCAAAGCGGGAATAAATCTGGAATGTTCAGAAAGCACATACACTCACCGTTCACTTTAATAGGAACAACTGTACACCTGCTCATTTCTGCAGTTTTCCAGTCAGCCAATCATGTAGCAGCAGCACAATGCATAAAATCATGCAGATACAGGTCAAGAGCTTCAGCTAATGTTCACATCAAACATCAGACTGGAGAAAAAGTGTGGATGGGATTGTTTATTGGTACCAGATGGGCTGGTTTGAGTATTTCAGAAACTGCTGATCTCCTGGGAATTTCACACACACCAGTCTCTAGAGTTTACACAGAATGGTGCAAAAAACATCCTGTGAGCAGAGGTTCTGCAGACTGAAACACCATGTTGATGAGAGAGATCAGAGGAGAATGACCAGACTGGTCTGAGCTGACAGGAAGCCTATAGTAACACAGATAAGCACTCTTTACGACGTTGGTGAGCAGAAAAGCATCTCAGAACCCACAACTCATCAAACCTTGAGGTGGATGGGCTACAACAGCAGACCACATTGGATTCCACTCCTGACAGCCAAGAACAAGAATCTGAGGCTATCATGGGCACAGACTCACCGGAACTGGACAGTTGAAGAGTGGAAAAAGACCAGGTGATTTTTTTTTTCCTAATCTTCAACTGTCCAGTTTTGGTGAGTCTGTGCCCATGATAGCCTCAGATTCCTGCTCTTGGCTGACAGGAGCAGAACCTCATGTGGTCTTCTGCTTCTATAGCCCATCCACCTCAAGGTTTGATGTTTTGTGCAATGCTGAGATGCTTTTCTGCTCACCACAGTTGTAAAGTGTGATTATTTGAGTTATTATATCCTTCCTGGCAGCTCGAACCAATCTAGCCATTTTTCTCTGACCTCTCTTATCAACAAGGCGTTTCCACCCACAGAACTGTTGCTCACTCAGTGTTTTTTGCACCATTCTGTGTAAACTCTAGAGACTGGTTTGTGTGAAATTCCCAGGAGATCAGCAGTTTCTGAAATACTCAAACCAGCCCATCTGGCACCATCATCCATGCCACTGTTAAAGTCACAGAAATCATACTTTTTCCCCATTCTGATGTTTGATGTGAACATTACCTGAAGCTCTTGACCTG